TTGAACATCAGCCGGGATATTCAAGACCCGTATCTGGCGGAAGGGTGTTGTACATTGCATTTCTTATATCACCGGTATGGTAACCCCAAAGGTTTCGAGGAACCCAACACAGGATTGACACATGCTGGAAATAAAGACAAATGGGAAGCCCGACGGGGATTAGCCTTCATGGTAGCCTTTTTGGGAGTGGTAATTTGTCCAAGAAAAGATGGTCACATAGACCTTGGCCTGGTAGGGATGCTAGATGTTGCCATGAAAAAACCTACTAGCACAGTGGCTCCCCTGATTGTAGCAGAAATGTACCGAGCTTTGACCAAATGTCGGGAAGGGGAGAAATTCTTTCAAGGTTGCAATTTGCTCTTACAATTGTGGATACAAGAACACCTCTGTCACTGCACAGGCTATATGAACTACGGTTTAACTGGATTGAGTTGTATTGCAGAATTCGAGACCCGGGTAACAGGTATTGAGTTCCCTGAGGGTACTGAGGCCTGGTCGTCATGCTTAAGATCCCTGACCACAGATAAAGTTGAATGGGCTTATGGATGGCTTCCTGCTACTGAAGCTTTATACACATCAGCAGAGGTCTCTTATATTCTTTTGATGGGTATTCAAAGCATACAACCTTATGCTCCTTACCGAGTTTTGCGACAATTTGGAAGATTCCAGACAGTGCACAACGATGAAGACCTGAGTGAGCAAGTCATCGAGTTAGGCCCGAAAGCTGCATTCCCTGAAGGCAGAATTCGAAAGATATGGAATGAGTGCAGGTACCTTGAACCCAAGACTATAGTACAGGACCGAGCCAGAGGTGAGGTAGATCCCAAATACTTGGTCTGGTTTGGTAAAAGATTTCAAATTCCTGAGAGACCCGCCAAAAGGCCACATGTACAACAATTCACTAACGAGGCCCAGGTGCAATGAGATTGGTTAGCCAAAGAAAAGGAGTACAGGGCCTAATAGGAGCATTGGAAAAACAGGTTTAGGAGCTCCGATTTGAAAACACCTTGCAAGCCGCAGCTGATGAAGGTGATAAAAAGAAATTGGCCCAGGAGAATGAAGCTCCCAAGGCCCAAATTCAGCAAATGAAAATAGAGGCCAAGAATCGAGAAAGAAGTCTATCCGACGAGAGATTGATAAAAATTTTAAAGAAGCAAGTCCTGGACTGTGAGGAAGAATTGGAAAAATCCGAGGGGAACATGGCAAGACATCGGGCACAATGGGCAAAGAAGACTGAGGAAAGAGCCCAGTTTGTACAACAAATGAAGAGGAACTATGAGGGAACCATTGCTAACATGAAAAGAAAAATGAATACTCTTGAAGTAAAGGTAGCTCGGCGGGACAAAGAATTTCGGGCCGAGAGAGAACAGTGTTATGGGTTAATCACTGAGATGGAAAAGGAAATAAAATTGTTACAAGACCTTCACCTCCAGGATTCTCAGGTTCTAAAGGCTCGTACCCAACATATAAGTCGGCTACTCCAAGAAAAGGGCCAAATCAGGGAAAGAATCAGAAACATTGCCAACTATATTGTCATGAAGTGCCAGGCTGGTGAGCGGATGGGTCGTACCACGTTCTTTGCCTCCGTAATGATATTTGTTCGCCAGGTCATGAATGATCTGGATCAGTTGCAAAAGGGTATCGCACGCAGGCCCGCGGCGATGCCGAGTGATGCCCCGCGGGCCCCAGGATTTGAAGCTTTGATGTATTCTTAAATAATCGAGTCTGTATTTTGAGTCTGGTTTTTGTACTTTCCTTTTCCGAGAAAAGAAAAACAAATAGTCTAATAGCTTTGTAATCGCAGTTGTTATTAATGAAAATTTGAAAATTCCCAAAAAATTGTTTCTTTATTTCTTGCATTTATTTTTGCATTTATTTGCAAGAACTACGCTCGGTCTAATTCACGCGGGGTCGTGATACGTAGGCAATCTCCATAGGATTCGACCGTAACTAAATGAAAAGGGGAGAAACAAGAAAGGAATGAAGGGAAAGAGGTGAAAAACAAGAAAGGAAAGAAAAACAAAAGAGGGAAAGAAAAACAAAAGAAAATAGGAAACCAAACAAAAGCAAACAGGAGAAAATAAAAAGGGAACAAAGGAAAGAAAAGAGCGGAAAAACAATTTTGAGGAAAGGAGCGAATAGGAACAAGGAAAAACCAAGGCAAAAGAAAAAAGAAAAGAGGGAAAATAAGAGAGAAAAGCAAAAGAAAAGAGGGAAAAGCAAGAAACAAACAATGAAAAACACGAGGGAAGAATGAGAGGAAAGGCATGTCAAATAAAGGAAAATGAAAAGGCCGGGATGATGCATGCGACCGATCAAAAGCATAATAGGAACTGTTGACTGCCTAGGTGCATCCACTCCCCAAATGTGTGGGTACCAATATGTTAAATGCCCTAACGCTAACGTGATGGTTTCATTTTGTCATGTCATTCCAGAAAGGTGGTTGGTTTCTGGTTTGAAAGTGGTAACTCTTCTTTACAACACAAGGACAAAAGGCAATGGCAAACAACAAGATAACTGAGTTGGTTGATACCGGTGCTCGACAACAGTTGGTGGAACAGGATAATGGGTTGGTTGAAGAGGTGCGGATGCTGAGACAACACATGACAAACATGTATCGAGCCTGGATAACTGGGAAGGCGCCACCCCCGCCACCACCAATTTTCCCGGACGCTACCCTTACCCAAACTCCCAACACAATACCAGATGATCCTCCATATTCTCCAGATACACCCGCTTATCACACTCGTCCCAACTACCCTAGTAGCTCCATTGCTCATCCTTCAGTCACTTCTCCCCAAAATTGCCCTCCTGTCATATCCATTACCCCAAATAATGAACACCCATTCAAAGCTCGTAATGCCCAATTTCACCCTCCAGAGGTTGCCCACAGGGTCCTTGATTCATACAAGAAAAGCTCCCGGGATGAGCTCCATGCTAGAAATGAAAAGGTTACAGGAAGGGAAGAACGAGATGAGACGCCCAGGAAGATGAAAAGCATAGAACATTCCTTAAGGGACAAGCGAAGAGTGGAAGGCCAGGGTAGCATGACTTGTAGGGAACTGATTGCGCCACATGTCGCCCGCCTGCCCGCAGGATTCAAAGTACCAAAATTTAACTTGTATGATGGGCGTGGAGACCCGGTAGCCCACCTGAGGGTCTATTGCAATGCAATGAGGATTGTTGGAGAGCAAGATGACGTGATGATGGCATATTTCAGTAAAAGCCTAACTGGGGCAGCTTTGGACTGGCATGGTCGTCAAAATGTCGATGAGTGGCTTACATTGGGTGTCATGGCTCAAGACTTTGTCCGATACTTTCAATGCAAATCAAGTGTTGCCCCAGACCGCACCTCGCTATATAAGATGGAAAAGAGGCCGGAGGAAAGCTTTAATGAGTTTGGGCTCAGATGGAGGGAGCAAGCTGCTCGAGTCAGTCCCCCGATCAGCGAAGAAGAAATGGTTAAGCTTTTTCTACAGGCCCAGGGACCCACCTTCTACAGTCATCTGATCCCGGCCCTGGGAAAGCCTTTCAATGATGTGTTAAAAATGGGGGAGCTAGTGGAAGAAGGAATCAAGTCAGGCAAAATCGTGAGTTGTTCGGAAGCCATTCAGAACATACCAGTAAGCTTGGTTGGAAGAAAGAGGAACAGAAAAGACGATCCGATAGGTTTTCCTGATCAACACTTCCAGCCTCGACATCGTCCCCGTGGTTATCCTTGTGCATTAGATGACCTTCCCCGATGCTACTTCTCTCCACAGAAATCCCAAAGTCGCACATCACAGTACCCAGCTCAAAATAATGCCCATCTACCCCCGCGAGCTCCCCAAAAACACCCCGGATCAGGTTTTCGGCCCAATCCAGCATTTAAGAATGAGAGGTTACGAAAGAAGAAAGCCTTCACTCCGTTGGGAGAATCATACGCCAGTCTGTTTCAGCGGTTAAGGACACTGGACATGTTGAAGCCGATTCAGATAAAAGTGCCGAACCCTCCTCCAAAGAAGTTCGATCCTTCTCAACAGTGCGCATACTGCTCAGGTGCCCTGGGGCACGACATAGAGAAATGTTGGAATCTGAAGAATGCAATTCAAAAGCTTATTGATGCAGGCGACATCGTCGTGCAAAATCCAGATGCAACAAACACTGGCCAAGATCCATCTCCTGTGCACAATGAGACGCATATGGTGGGTATGATTGATTGTGAGAATGAGCCGGCAGAAGAAACCCAGATGCAGTTTGCTCAGAACAACATGATGAAGTCTTGTGAAAATTCCAGCAATCTTGGTGTGAAATTCAGTGGTTAAGACGCCGTGCTTGGTAATTGGGAAGACGCTCCATCTCTTGGAGTTTTGGTGGTTTATGTTGTTGTCATTTCTGTTGTCCGGGTTATTTCAGGGTTGTAATCCGGATATTGTCTTGTGACTCAAACCCTTCTATCCTTTCA